GGAAGAAGGGCGTACCTGTTGCGACCTACCAGCGCCATAGCTGGGCTCTCCAGTTCCCAGGTAAGTGCAGAAAGCGCCTAGCTTTCTTCTTCTTCTCCTCTCCTTCTTCTTCTTCTTCTTCTTCTTCTCCTCCTCTCCTCTTCTCCTCCTACTCCTCCGAAGTTCTTCTTCTTGTTCTTCTTGTTCTTCTTCTTCTTCTTCTTCTTCTTCTTCTTCTTCTTCTTCTTCTTCTTTGTCAGAGTAGAGATAGAGGTAACTGCAGACATTGTTTGGACATGGCATTCTGCCTTATTGGACGCGACATTCAGATCGGACTTACACTCTACATTGGGATTGAACTGCGTACGACATTCGGAGATCAGACTTGGGTTGGACTTGGTTATCTGTCTCTCCCCTCTCTCTCTCCCGCATGTCTATGGATCTCTCCCCATGTGTGTGAGCGGAAGGGCAATCTTTCTGATGTCCTGCCCTTCCGAAGTTTCCCTCTTTCCTGTTTGTCTGTCCTCGTGTCCTTTGGTTACTAAGACTTCAGCTGTGCTGCTTCCCAGCCCATGATGATGATACAAATGTGTTGTTGTTGATTTCTCGTTGGTTTACTCTTTGCATTGTGCACATTGACATCTTGTGAATGTTGCATCTATGCTGCCAGTTGTTGCCACTTTCGTCATTGCTAGATCCTAGGCTCTCAGTGCATTTCACTTTCTGATATGCTACACCCGGACTGGGGGAGCCCTAGTCAACCTGTTCCAACATCACAGCGACCACACACTGAGTAGACTCCTTCCAGACCGGACCGAGTGGCATGACACAGCCCACCTCTACCGCATTCAGGTCCTAAGAGCCCCGGATGGAAGCAGCTGGCAGACCCACTGCCCCCACATTCAGCTCGCGGCCCTTGCTTTGGACCTGGAGGACTGGAAGTGGCCAGTCCCCAATAACAGGCAACCACGCAAGCCACACATACTCCAGTCACTCACTGTTAGGACAGCTTAATGCATGCTCCGACCACGAGTGGATGTGAACGCAGTCATCACAGATTGCTGGACGTGCCATCTGAACCTCGGTCAAGCCTTTGCCACATCAAATGGTTCAGAGGAATCGAGGACCACTCAGCCATGTTCACCTCTCTCCAACGGCAGATCTGTCACTGTTGTCTGCCAACCAACGACTGGCTGATGAAACACTCCTCATCGGAACAGAGAGGCCTGGCCCTTCCCTGGTTCAGGGCCTGTCAAGAGAACTTTCCCCACCGTAGGATCTGGGAAACTATTTTGCACCTGTTTCTTCAATGCCCAGCTGCACTACTGACCTGGCGATGGTGGGGCCGCACTGGCGGCAATCAGGAGCTGGCATGCACTGGCCCTGGGACTGGAAAGCCCTCCTCTTGGCGCATGGCACCCCCCCTGCCCCTCCACCTTCACCGAGAACCTCTTTGCCTTAGGAAGGCAGGCAGTTCTGTGAGGACTGAGGTGGAAACAGTGTGTGCATGTCCTTGAGTCAGTCCGAGTGGAGGGGACAGAAGTCTCAGATGTGATCCGGCAATTCATTCTTACAGAACTCCAAGCCAGATCGACACAAACAA